CAGTAAAAATCAAGAAGGCCTTGTGTCCGTTTTTCCACCTGGAGGGAGTTACACTGTGCTTAGTCTTCTCTGCCCGTATGTCCCTCTGTTTGTCCATGGTGTCTTGTCTGGGCCTGTTTTATTCTGAGGGTCCTTGTCTCATGTGGGTGTGTTCAGTTTACGTTTCCCCTGACTCGTCAGCTGTGATTTCTCCCAGGTGTGTTCCCCTCCTGTCTCTCATCCCTTGATTACTGCCCTGTGTTTCCTTTGTTCTCTGTCACCTCGTCAATGTCTACTCACCCTCAGTTTCCGCTGTGTGTTCTGTTACCTATTTTTGCCTGCCTGTTAGTTTATATTTTCCAGTTTAGTTAGTCTTCTGTTTGATCAGCAGTCTGCAAACAAGCAATTTATTCTGAGTTTACTTTTGCCTCCGTGAGTCCTGCATTTTGGGTCCTTCCTCTCTGCCTGCCTGCACACAGCCATGGCAGAACGACACGACCATAACCTGGACCCAGCGGGCTCGTCCCGGGAGAGCGATCTCGCCCGCATCATGAGCTTGGTGAAGCGGATTTCCCACACAGAGGATACTAAGGCGATGGCAATTGGGATAAATGCTATCAAAGCAATCCTCGAGAGGAATCCACATTTCTGCCAACTCAGGGGGTTCATGCTGAAGCACCCCCAAAATAAATCAAAGCACCCCCACAGATTTCTTACTTTTTTTTTTACTTTTGTTGGACAATATTTGCTGTTTGTGTGACACACTACTAAAAATATAAAAACCATACAGTACTTGGTTGAGACGTAACATTTTAACAACAAAAGTATAGATACCCCCCCTCCTCCCTCCCAAAATGGTTTGTTCCAGCTCTCCCCTGCTCTGGCTCTAGCGCTCTTTCTGCCAGAGCGATGGTGGCTGAGACGCCGCTGAGCGGAGGTGTAAGAGCCTGGCTTAAAACAGGACATATTAGCTGCATTTAACCTTCAGTTACTCTTTATATAGTTGGTAGGAGTCAGACCATGTTTCTTTTTAGCTGAAAAACATTACACCAGGTAACCTGCAGTGTTGAAAACGTGTTTTCTGACGATGTTTGCTGCCCTACAATCCGTCCTGCTCTGTAGTGAAATCAGCAACATTTCATTGTCCTGTTGCTCCCATTGAAATGTATGCAGCCTATTTAAAATCTAAAACTTATAATTGTCCGTAGCCTGCTGTTGTTACCACTGTCCTGTTTGAAATGGATACTAACTGACTGAATGCCCATTAACCTTATAACTGTTGTGTGTGTGTGTGTGTGTGTGTGTGTGTGTGTGTGTGTGTGTGTGTGTACAGAGACAGCCAGGTTCATAATGGATATAAGAAAGTTTTTTCAAAAAAAGGAGCCACATTCAGGTAAAAGTGTAAAATCAAATGATCTGAATCAGGAATAATGTTGGATCAGTGTTTCAATATTTATCTTTTATTAGATGTTCATGTGGTTTGGTTATTTGCCTTTTGGTTGAAAGTACACTGAGAGGACTTTTTCATTAGTGATCTTAAAAGTATTTTTTTCATATTAATGTAATTTTTCATCTAATTGAATCTATTTGTGTATGATTGTCAGTCCAAAGAGGGAGAGAGGAAAGAGGGAACGTGAGGAGAAAGTACAAGGTCAGGAAGAACCAGGTAAGCAAACAGACAGGGAGCAGTGACAGGCAGAAACTGTTAAACTGACAAAGAGAAAAACCTGATTTTGCTCACAGTCTGGAAGTTGTGTCCTCCCTGTATTAAAGCTGCTAAACAGAATTTGCTAAACAAACTGGGCTGAAACATTTTGACCCTCTTTAACAACATTCCAACATAACATTATCATTGATCGGGAGATTAAAATTAATGATATATTTTTATGTGGTTCAACCACAACTCTACTGAAACCTCAGCCAGTAACAGGTCAGCCAACCGTTGGACCGTCCAGTTGTCTGTATGACTGCTGCAGTACGTGCATCACATTTGCTCACTATCAGAAAGAGCCAAACAGCCCTGGTGGAGCGAGCAGCTGTAAAGAGAAGCAGATGCTCTGTTTCTACAAATGTTTTAAGCTTGTTTCAAAGATTCTGTACAGCAGCTTTAAATGTTTTCCAAAAGCACACACACACTTATCAGTGTTTCTCACACTTTTTACAGTGTGGACCACCTGAGAAAATGTCAAGCTCTCCCAAGCACCAAAGCATGAAAGTCATAAATCTTACATCACAAAATTAGTATCTGCAGTAAAGATTTTTCATGCATTGTATACATTCTACCACAGGCAAAGTTGTCTCCATTTTTATAGTTTTTTTTATTAATATTTTCTAATAATTTATTTGTAATAATTTCTTCTGTTTTGGGAGTGTTTTTTATGTATCTGTATTATATTATACACACACATTAAAAGTGAATCTCTGTCCAAAAAATGCACTCAGTTTACTTTTTACTCACTATGAGCATCATTCATTATTAATAAACCAGTAATGAAGGTTAGCATATGTATTTTTTTTTATTCCAATCCATTCTTCGTTAGCAGCATTTAAATAACCTTTATCAGATTTGATGGTTTTGTTACAGACTTTTCAAAAACGTGTTTTGCTTTTCTTTCACAAATGTGGGATTAAATTGTTAAAATGTACAAAACAGTGATGTCATGTTTTGTGACGAGGACCCAGGCACAGAGAGACCTGATGAATTTAAGAATCTTGTGATTCAATAAAGAAATTTGCAGACTTGCACAGAGATGGTAAAATTATGGTGACTGATAGCGGAGACGAAGATAACAAATGATGAGGACAGGGAGGAACAGGGGTTTAAATGCACCGAGGAGACAGACAGAGAGAACTCGGGACAACTGGAGACATTTAAGGATGCAGGGACTGACAGAGACAGGGAAGATGTCTCATCGTGATGTGTAAAGTTGATCTTGCCTGGCTGGGCAGCTCTCTGGGTGCTCAGCAACCCCAAAGCTCTGATCCTAGAATCGCCCCTGGATGTAACTACAGCCCAGCCCATGCAGCAGTATATGAATGACTAACCTCGTATTGTGGATGGATTATCTCAGTTGTTCTCCTGGCTGAAGTTTGGTCCTTTTACAGCATCCTGCCATGCGATTACATTTGTTTCTGACCACCGAGAACACTCACATTAACTTTTATTGAGTGGAAAAAAAGTTAGCTTGTTTATATTATGCTAACATAGCTGTGTAGCTAGCGGTCACGTAGCACATCATTATATACCAGCTAGCCCAACTTCAGTAACCCTACAAACGTCACTGCTGTTTAGTTTTCTGTCTTCATTTATGTTGGAAGTGATAACAGAGCTGTACGTTTTAATTTGTTTCCAAAACCCCGCAGTCAGGACATGCTATATTGTATTTAGATAGAAGCTAGCGAGCTAACTCCCTGCTAACTTCTAACTCCGTTAAATGTCATAAATTCCGTTTTCATGGATGCCTGGATGTTAAACTCAATTGTTAAACCTGGTAGAGCAGAACGCTGATCATTTTATTAAAGATGAAAGACTTTAGACAGTTTTTAACTCTCAGTAATGCCATAGTGATCGTTTGATATATGGACCTGCAGCGGAGTTTAGGCCCAGACACGGCTAGTGACGTCAGACTTAACGACCGGATAGTGAACAATGGTGCTGTTAAATCACTGCACATGAGTGAATGAGTTTGCACTTGGTCCTGAATCCACCAGCGAGCCTCTCTCATTTCATATATACTAAAAACCACTCTGCTGCTCTCTGGCAAGGAATGGTGGTGGTAGATATCAGTTTAAATACTGCATTGATTCCCGATAGAAGAGACCACGCCCACCATTTCATTCTCAGACACGTCAGAGAGAGAAAGCGAGAGAGGACAGGAGGAAGCGTGACACCGTGGAAGTGGTAAGCTTCTGGGCTGACGGTGAGTTAAAAACCGGTAAACTCTGAGTGACTTTCAGAAAGCCTGGACAAGTACTTGCCAGGACCACTTTAAAAATTATAAGAAAGTTTGTGACTCAACAAGACTGCACTCAAGACTTTTGCACTATATTTATAGGCAGTAAGCAGTACATAAATTCAATCAAGTTACAATTCGACGTGAACTGGTTTGAGACCAGAGAAAATGAAACAAGAAATAGGATTTTTTTTTCACTTAATCTCGATTCCTTCCTTTTTTACTTCCGCCGTTAGACTTGAAAGCCCCGCCCTGCTGTCCGTCTCTCACACACAGAGAAAGTGTGACGCTGTAACACGTTGAGGGAAAGAAACATATGAAGGCACAGTAACGGGGTGAGGTGCAGCTTTCTCCTCCTACAAACGGGCTCATTTCTCTGCCATTCAAAGGGAAGTAAGCGCAGACCTTCCGAGGACAAAGACAACTTCTGCAGGTTTTCAAAGCATCTCCAAAGGTATGTGATGGTTCTATTTATGGTTGAAGCTGCAAACGTGACTGGAAGGCGTCCGGTCACAGTCGTGGCGAAACGTAAATATGCATGCTATTAGTGTTTTTTTACTCCGAGCTCCGTGACCGATAAACAGGAACGTCACGAAGCTTTCGCTGTCTAAATTCGGACTATCAGCTGAGGTTAATGGCGGACCACGAAACATTCACACACATGTCGAATAAAAAAGCATTTTTGGGGGGCGGAGGGTTATAACACTGACCCGAAGGAACGAATCCTAAACAGACTGAAGTTTGCTGAAAGCTGACTTTATGGGGGAACTTTTGTGTGGCATTATGGGTCATCGGGCTCGGCATAACAGGCTTGTAAACACGCCTTTATCTTCTGTGATGCTACGACACGCGTGAAGAACCCGCGAGGAGGAATCACCTGAATGTGTTGTGTTATACAGCTGTAACACCGGGCGTCTGATGACTGCAGCGCTCTCACTTTTCAAAGAGGCAAAGATACTGCCTTGAGCCAACTTGGGGAATAGTATTAATAAAAGGTGATGGCTGAGGGCAGAGGTGGGCTTGACCACTGTGGGTGGGCACTGGCAGAAGTAGATATGGAGTGGAAGTGGGCTTTGGCAAGCGCGTACGCTAAATTGGATATGATACAGAGAAGATTAGCATGGCCCCTGCGCAAGGAAGTGGGCTTGAATACTCTCAGATGGAAAACATAATAAGGTGATAAGGTCTAATATATTTCTCTCTCAGTGTGGTCTTATTTGGCAGCGGTTAGAACAGAGGTGTTTCGTCAGGACAAGTAGAGCAAACAGTACTCGCCCTGTCAAATCTAAACATAGATACAAATGAATGCAACAAAGGAATTTAGGGCCACATTTAGAACACATATTATCGATCATTTTGTGAATAAAGCTGTAAGTCTATTTCAAGAAAAAAGTCCAAATGTGGAGATCACAGTTGTTCCAAGACAAACAGCCACGGCTGCTGTACCCTCTATAAAATGCCTTGTATAGATGAGTTAGTGAAACAAATTGATCCATCTTCTTTATTACACGAGGGTTTAAACATCAGTATCCTTGCATCTGTCCATTACCAGCCCTTTCATTTCGTACAAATCCAGCCAACTTTTCCAAATTTGTGTGCGTATTCCTTCTGAGAAGACGGCAGCTCTGACCATGTCTGCTCTAAAACCAGGCAGGTTGAGCAGCTGCTCAGATTATCATCTATGAGAATAACTGAATGTAATATGTTTAACCAGCGTTTAATCCCCTGTAGATATTGACTGTTAACCACACTACTCAAGCCTTTTAATTTAGCATTTTTTTCTTTTTTAAATTAATATATTTTAATATACTTATTCTCCTTTAGTCTCAGCTGACTGCAGGTTTCCCCAATTTTTAAACAGCCCATTTGTATAAATACTGAAACTAGTTACCTCACAGCACATTGTTAGTCAGTGGGCTGGTTTCAGTCATTATGTAAGTGTCCTGTTTATAAGGTTGGGGAAACCTGAAGAAGTCACCTGGATGAGTGACGAAACGTTTCTCCCGCTGAAAGCGCTACATCCAGAGAACAGAATCAACCTTTGGGGATGGTGTTTTATTGCTTTCTTTCGTCTCTGTTTGACTCTCTGTACCAGTGGATTAGACACCTATAGTTGTTTATTTTGGCATCGCCAAAGCTAACTTGGAATGGACTTGAAATTCAGGATAATAAGAGGACAGGCGTGCCTCATTGTCTGAAGTGTTTGAACTTTGTGAAGGCTCTCTGATGTCACTTTCACTTCTTACAATTGATACAAAATACTTTAGTCTATGCACTGACCTGGCCTTTACAGCATGGCTGATTTATTCTATCAAGGTGACCGCTAATGCACATTAATGACACAACTTAACACCTGCTCATCCTGTGGCCTGATGCATTAGACCTCAGATTTCTGTATAGTTTTTTATTTTATATTTATATCCTGTTCATAGCCTGTACACAGCTTGTACTCACTACAGCCTGTACATACTTATAGTTATAGAATATTCACAACATACATCATACCGTGTACATTATAACATACCATCAATCAATCAAAATTTATTTATATAGCACATTTTTAAGACCGAAGTACACCAAAGTGCTTTCCATTAAAATCGCAGTACAAATAAAATCACGATAAAATATAAATTACAAATATATAAAATATAAGATAATTACATAATCTAAATACAGAGCCAGATGTAAATTACCCTAATTCGCCTTAAATGCCAGATCAAACAAATACGTTTTTAAACGTGATTTAAAAGACTGAATGGAATCTGACGCGCGAATATGAAGAGGGAGAGTATTCCATAGCCTGGGTGCAGCAACGGCAAAGGCACGGTCTCCTCTGGTCTTCAGCCGAGACCTAGGTTGCACCAAGAGCAGTTGGCCCGATGATCTTAGTGCTCTCTGAGGGCTGTACAGACAGAGGAGATCAGCTAAGTAGTCAGGTGCTATATTGTTCAAAATTTTATAAGTAAACAATAGAATTTTAAAATCAATTCGATATTTGATAGGAAGCCAGTGTAAATTTTTCAGAACAGGGGTGATAGAGTCAAACTTTCTAGTGCCGGTCAAGAGACGTGCTGCGGCATTCTGGACCAGCTGCAGACGCTGCAGAAGAGAAGATTGTAGACCCAAGTAGAGTGAGTTACAATAGTCCAGACTTGACGTAATGAAAGCATGAATGAGTTTCTCCATATCTTTGTGTGGTATGTAGGGTTTAGCCTTAGAGATTAGGCGTAGTTGATGAAAGCTAGTTTTTACCACAGTAGAGACCTGTTTGTCAAGTTTGAAGGAACTATCCATGAAAACTCCAAGATTCCTGGCAGTATCAGTAAGGTAGTTAGCAACAGGCCCAAATGTGTCAGTCAATTGTCCCAGAGGCATATTTCGGTCAAAAACAATAATTTCTGTCTTCTTTCCATTTAAAGTAAGAAAGTTACGTGATAACCAGTCCTTGACATCACTCAGACAGTCAAACAGAGGATGTGGTGAGGATAAAGCATCCCCAGTCAGGTGAAGGTAGATTTGAATATCATCAGCGTAACAGTGAAAAGAGACATTGTGTTTTTCAAAAATGGAGCTCAAGGGCAACATATAGAGAGAAAACAACACAGGACCCAATACCGAGCCCTGGGACACACCACAGCGGAAACGGGCAGATGAAGAGGAATATTTTCCCATCGAGACGGAGAACGACCTCTCATAAAAATATGATTTAAACCAAGATAAAACATTTCCTTTGAGGCCTACTACATGTTCCAATCTTGCCAAAAGGATATCATGATCAACCGTATCAAAGGCTGAGGTCAAATCCAATAGTACTAAGACCGCAGAGCGCCCAGAGTCAGCAATTAAGAGAAGGTCATTAAAGACTCTTAGTAGGGCAGTTTCGGTGCTGTGACGCGGTCTAAATCCAGACTGAAATTTATCACTTATACCGTTTCTCTCTAAATAGGTCTGTAGTTGCCGAAGCACTATTTTCTCTAAGACTTTTGACATAAAAGGAAGTTTAGAAATCGGCCTGTAATTAGCTAAAATGTTACGATCAAGGGTACTTTTCTTGATGACAGGTTGCACGACTGCATGTTTAAAGACAGTCGGAACATAGCCAGATGACAGTGAGAAGTTCATTAGAAATAAAATACAAGACCCGATTGTATTCAATGCATCCTTAATGATATGAGAGGGAATAATGTCGTGCAAAGAATTTGAGCTTCTCAGATTATTAATTATTTCCTTTAAAGTAAAAAATGACACAGGTTCGAACTGTTGGAAAACCGTTGAACATTCAGAAGCTGGGGCTTGATTTACTACCAAAGAATGTGTGGCCCTTAACAATGAGATTTTATCTATAAAATAATTTAGAAATTTTTCGCAGAGGGCCGGGGAGGCACCCACTGAAACATCCGAACAGGGATTAACCACTGAATTAAAGATTTTAAACAGGACTCGAGGACTATGGCTGTTATTCGCAATAATGTTAGATAAAAAAGAAGTTTTTGCCATTTTGGCAGCCTTCTGGAATTTAGACCGGCTCATATGCAGGATGTCAAGGGACACCTGAAGTTGATCTTTTTTCCATCTTCTCTCAGCTCGACGACATTCACGTCTAAGAGCGAGGATGGATTCATTTAGCCAAGGTTGGCGTGAGGTTTTACGGCGTCGAATCTTTACTGGAGCCACAGTATCCAAAATAGAAGTACATATAGAGATGAAAGAGTTGACTACGCCATCAACCGAGAGAGGTGCATTACTGATGTCTTCATAACCAAAAGAATTGGCAAAGGCCGCAGAAAAAAGAGCAACAGCCTCAGAATTAATCGGACGTGATAGGCTCGGTGGACCCTCAGAGTTCAATTCCATATTGCATGACTGAACATCAAACATAACTGGGAAATGATCCGAAATCCCAGCATCATTGATGTCTGTGATGCAAATGTCCAGTCCATACGACAATACCAAGTCCAGCATATGCCCTTTAATGTGGGTTGATTTCCTCACCCACTGAGTAATATTAAAAGAGTCAATAAGGGCAAGAAAGTCCTTTGCCAATAGGTCCTCCTCGCAGCATATATGAATATTAAAATCACCACAAATAAGTACACGATCATAACTTAAGAAAATAATTCCTAGAAGATCAGCAAATTCACGGATAAAGTCCTTGTTGCGCTTCGGAGGTCGATACACCACCGCACAGAGGGTCTGGGGGGAACCGGACAACTCCAGTAGTTGTACTTCAAAGCTGGAGTGCAAGGCGGGAGGCAGTTGCCGCACTCGGAATTTACTTCTAAAAACCGAGGCTAGCCCTCCACCCCTGCCCGCGGTCCTAGGAGAATTAAAGAAAGCACAGTCCAGTGGAAGAAGTTCCGAAAAGGAAGAGGACTCACAAGGGCGAATCCAGGTCTCTGTTAAAAACAGGACATCCAGCCTTGATGCAAGAAAAAAGTCATTTACAACGAAGGACTTGTTCACCAGTGACCTAGTGTTTAGCAGTGCCATACGGAGCGTAGCCTCGTTGACGCTACTGGGAGCACGTCCCAGCCGACGAAGATTACTGTAATCCACACCTCCTCCAGAGGCCCGCTTCCAGCTCCATACAGGTGGACACTCAGCTGGTAGAACCGAATGGGCTTGCTGGCCAGCATAGCGAATCCATCGATGACGACACAGTCTGAAGGTATGCTGGGAGGGCCACAGGTTGTCAATAATGGAGCAGTAGCCAATCACTCCATGTGCTTTTAGGTAAGCTTTAATACGAACGCGAAAACCACTCCGCTTACCCCGTTTCCTATATCGTTTCTTGTGCGGTGTAAAAAGAGGCAGGTAATCCGTGCAGGCGGAAGTATGTGGTCGAGGCTGGGAAAAATTCCCTAAGTTCCAATATAGATCCGGCTTTTTGTGATTCAAGGGTCGAAGATTTAAAAGAGTTTGTCGATCATAGGCAATCAGGGCAGTAACATCCGGAAAGCATATAGAAAGTAATAAAACAAAGAGAAAACAACACTCAGGAAGACGGACCCAAAGACGGCTTGCTGTGCACACTGGCGCCATCTTGGAAAAGTAAGGACCCATTTCTGTAATATACTCACATATCTATATTATTGTTAATATATATTGTAATTAGAGCTGAGCGATAGAACGATAACGATATGTGTTGCGAAATAACTTTTCCTCGATAGAAAA